GTTCAAGATTGCGGTGGGTCCGTTTGACGGAGCCGGTTTAACTGATCGGGTGAATGCCGCGAAAGGTACGGTTATAGGTATTTCTAGACCGGTCGGATTCTTCATTTCTTTCGGTGAAACCTGCCTATTTGCGAACAGGACAAACGAATTCTGTTTATTGTAAACAGTGACACAGGACTCTTTTTTTACTTTTCATTTCAGAAAAAAAAAATTTCCTAAAATCAGATGGATATCACCATATTCTTTTATATGTAATGTTTCTTCAAAACTACTGCCGTTTATGGATCTCCACAACTTCCTCGATTTCCTTAGGCGAATTAACTTTTCTACCATTACTATCCCTCGATGTCCTTGTTTTGCAATCCATCCATACAAACCCGTTAAGTAGTTTCGCTGTTTCTCTGCTTCTCTTACCTTCGGTAAGTCCTGTGAGTGTTACATTCCCCGAACATCCTCTTTTCTCCTAATGGGTTCCAAAAGTTCCGCAGTCCTGGATATGACGATAAGCTACATCCGGCAGCAAAGCCTCTGATCGGGATGTTTTGAGGAGTGTGGTTAACGAGCTCATCTCGAATCTCATTGCTGTACTTGATCGTTTTTTAACCAGTCTGCTCATGCGCTTTAACGCGCCCTGAAAGGTCACCAGGTACGCCCCAAGTTAACAGGAGCTTAAGTTATAGTGATTTTCTAGGCGTAGCTTAGATGTAGCACAAGGCCTAAAGTGTGGGCACCCAGTGAGGTCCGAACTCACTAATCAGTCATAATTGTTCTAGCGAGACAAGTTTGTGAACCATTACATCACGCCAAAGTGCCCAAAAAGAGTAATTTATGAATTACTATTCTATTTAAAAAACAAACAAACTATTTTTATGAACTTAGCAAGAATATGGCTTCCATTTCTAAGTCAAGACTTTGTCATTTGATATTTTAAGATAATCCTTTCACCTCTGCCTTCCTCAAAGGATTTAAAGTAGTCATTATCAGCGACTCTAAAAAAGAAATTCAGATTTTTCATAAATCTCCTTAAATGAAAACTGTACCGCTAATCATCTTTGGAAATACTAAAACAAAGTTTAATATTTTTAAATTTCAAAATTAATTTTTCCTCATAAAAATTTCAAGTGCACCTTAAAGTTTAAGTTATTCCACAAGTGCACCCTTAAATAAAAACAAAAACACTGCTGTACATGGTTCGAATCCCAACGACTTCATCATATTAGCATCCATGTGATGCACTAAACTGTACACAATACACCTCCCATACATGCACCGATTCTGGGTTTGGCAATAAACTACATCCGGCAGCAAGTACTCTGATCGGGAGGTTTTGAGGTTTTAATTGCTGTTGATCCTGGCTCCACCCTGATCCGGGGTGGTAGCACTTGTTAGGATCCATACCTCTCTCTCTCTCTCTCTCAACTTGGTGGATAGATAGCGGCTCGGATTGAGGAATCGGCGAGCCGAGTTCGAATTCAAGTGGAATCCATTAGATTCACTTACGTGCTAACTTTGAGAAAGATATTAATCCTCTTCTTCTTCATCTCGCTATGAATAAATAGCAGGTCAGACAGGGTTCTATAGACTTGGATGGCAAATGGTCTAGGAGAAGAACAACCCTTAATTCAAAGCCTGCGGAGGGTCGTTTGAAAACTTGTGGCATGTAGTGCACCAGGTCTCTGTATTCGGCCCTTCAAAAAGTGTGATTGGTTCTGTACAAAGCCTTCACCACTATTATCAAATCATATGAGCTGGTATCTGGGCTGTCGGTGCCTAGGAACTGAGCTGCTTGACCCTCATACGTCGAATACGACAGGAGAGTTCAACATATAAAAACGTTACTAACAATACATATTTTGAATAAAATGACCAACAATATATTCTATAATAGAATTACTGACAATAAATTTTATCTAGTTGAAACCATAAAATAGAGTTCAAAATATTTAGATTTCGGAATTAAATAACACATAGAGGTTGATATGCTGCTAAATAAAATCAACCAACCAAAAGTTTCATCTGCTCTTTCTGTTTGTGAGTATCGAGTTTCCATGTAACTCTAAATTTTCTTTCTTGTTTGCTGCTTTCATAGTTAACCAATGCTATTCTTAACATTCAACTGGAGAATCATACCGATGTCGCTTTACGTCCCTTCTTCATCTGTAAAGATGTCACTAACGGACATCTTTACAGATGAAGAAATATATTAATCCAGATATTAATCTCAACGACTTCATCTTATTTGTATCGAATTGAGGAATCGGAGAACCGAGTTCGAATTCCAGTCGAGTTCATTAAATTCAATTACGTGCTGATACAATGTCTTGCTGTTTTCACTGCAATATATACGTTTAGATGGGTTCCTCGGCGTGGTGTAATGGTTAGCAGGCTGGTTTTGATAAAACTGTTACAACTGAATAATGAGTTCGATCCTCACTGGGTGCCTCATACTTTCGGCCATGTGCCACTTCTAAGCTTCGCTTAGAAAATCAATATACGCGATTAGATATAATATAATGGTTCAGCGTGTTTTTTTTTTGTCACGATTTACACCAAACTTTTTAAGAAACCTATGAAATGATCAAGAATCCCTATGGATTAACGTTTTGAATACGTGGAGATAATAAATGCTGACATGTAGACTTTCTAAAACTACATTTTGGATGGCTAAGAGAGAGGGAGCCCTTCAAGAAGTGGCTGGAACTTTAGAACACGACTACAGACTTTCGAAGGTTCTATTATGAAATAAGAATTTTGTGTTGCTTAGAAATAAGTCTCTCTCTTAAACAATTCTAAAGACTCAGGTCCAATTCTGCTTCATGAAATTTTTCCATCACATGTTGCCAGATTGATACAGCAGAAGCTCAAGGACTTGGCATACGTGACAACCACCCCACACCACACCACCCCACCCCACACCACACACAACACCACCCCACCCCACCCCACACCACACCACCCCACCCCACCCCACCCCACCCTACACCACCCCACACCACACCACCCCACACCACACCACACCACACCAGCGTATTC